AATATATTAGTTTCAGGTGTACAACATAGTGATTCAGTATTTTTTATAGATTATACTCCATAAAGTTATTATAAAATTCTGGCTATCTACCCTGTGCTGTATGTTACAGCTTATTTATTTTATACCTAGTAGTTTGAACCTCTTAATCCCCTTCACTTATTTTACCCTACCCCCATCCCTGTGGTAACCACTAGTTTGTTCTCTATGAGTCTGTTTCTGCTTTTTGTTACATATACTAATTTATTTTTATTTTTTATACTTCACATATATATAAGTGAAAACATGCAGAATTTCTCTTTCTCTGTCTGACTTATTTCACTAGGCATAATATCCTCCAGGTCCACCATGTTGTCCAAAATGGCAAGATTTCATTCTTTTTGATTGCCAAGTAATATTTCATTTCATTTATGTATGTGTGTGTGTGTATATGTATATCTTTATCTATTCGTCTGTTGACAGACACTTGGTTTGCTTCCAGTCTTAGCTATTGTAAACAGTGCTGCTGTGAACATTGGGGTGCACGTGTCTGTTGTAAGTAGTATTCTCATTTTCTGTAGCTGTACCCCCAGGCATGGAATTGCTGGGTCATATGGTAATTCCTGTGGCTTTGGTGGGAAATCTGAAGTGAGTATAGGCTGCACCTTCTCCCAGGGTGTACTGGCAGCTGCCGCCTTGGAGGGAGGTGGGGCTGGAGTTGGAGGGACGAGAGCTGGAGCCAAGTGTGACACGGCTCTCCTCCTAGGCTCAGTGGCAGTTGCCGCTCTCCTAAGAGGCAGGACCAGGACCTAAGATGCTGGAACAGGAGTCTTGAGGACGTTGGGCCTCCCCCTGGAGGAGTGGCAGTCTCCACCTTGGTTGGGGGCATGGCCGCGGCCCAAGGGGCTGGAGCAGCACTCCTGGGCTGGCTCCGTTTTCCCCTGGTGCATGCGATGGTGGTCTCCACCCAGGCAGGGGCCAGTGCAGGCTAAGAAGGGTCGTGCTGCTGCGGTCCTGGCAGGTCCTGGGAGCAAGCAAGCCTGTGAGCACACACTTTAAGAGCAGAGTCTCAGTTTCTTACAGCCCTCTGATGAGCCCCTGTGGTTATTATCATCAGACCAGCAAAGGGGTTTTATCGTCCTGGTGCCAGACCCCAGGCCTGGAGTGCCTAATATGAGGCCTGAATCTGTGGTTCCTTAGGGAAGAGCCCCGAGCCTGCAGTATCCCCCTCTTCTGAGTCACCCACTAGGGCTGGGGGTCCCAGCTAGCTTGCTCCACCCCTTTCACCAGACTCCTTGTGGTTCTTACTTTACAGCTTTGCTGGTAGGAGAGCTGTCCTGCTAGTTCTCTGGCTGTGCTCAGTGAGAGATGTTCTACATGTAGTTGCAGTTTTGATGTGCTGTTTGGGGGAGGAGAGTGCAGGGTCTTCCTGCTTTTCCATCTCGATCCACTTCCCCTGGGTTCAAGTTCTGATCTTGCCACTAATTACATAAAGTATATGCAATTAAGTCTTCAGTGGGGGATAGGCTCACCAGTTCGTTAAGTAGGCTGAACCCACGGGGATGCCTTCAGCTGTCAGCTTTATTTTTCTCCTGTCACTCTCTTCTAACGTGGTTGGTTGGAATTCTGTTCATTGCCTCTTGACAACATTTTGGGCAGATGTTTGGGCAGATGTCAAGGCTTTTGTTGTTGCTCATAAGAGTCTCATTTTCAGGTAATAAAAGTTCAGTTCACTGAAAGTGGAATGAAAGTCTGATAGTTAACGCACTGTTTTTCTGCTCACCCTCACCACCAGCCTCCCCCTTGCCTCCATCCACAAACACGCCAGTGAAGCCCTAAGCCCTGGGCTGAGAACCTGCCTTGGGAAGATGAGCCGTGGTCTCTCATTTCAGCCAGCCTCCACCTTGTTTTTCTCCTCCACCTTTCACACTCCCACTCCCTCTTCTGCACCAGTGGAGAATTTTATCCACGAGACTCCAGGAGTCCTCAGTCATGTCTCGCTCTGGAGAGCTGATGAGTAGAGGTGAACCTTCCTAGTGCTCTGGGGGCTGATGCGACTGTATGGAGAAGTCTGCGCGCCTGCGAAAGTCCTCAGCCTGCCCCCCCCCAGCGAGCGCCATCTGGAGTGACCTCCTGCCTGCGCAACCCCGCGTGTCCCCCGCAGCCAGCAGCGCCGCGGCTCCCTGCTCTGTGCGGCGTTTGGTGCCCTGCGGCAACGTGTCCCTGGGCCAGCCTTGGAACTATGTGCCTGAGAGCCCTAAGGAGGTCTTTACAGGCCTCATCCTATCTGTTCAAGGTGTCTTTAAGTTGTAACTGCTCAAGAAAATGTAGGCTAGGGAAATTTTTCTAGAATCCTCTGTAGGGTGCTGCGGTGAGGAGGTCTGGCGGGGAAGTGCGCTTGAGTTTTAGTCAGTCAGTCAGTCAGTCAGTCACATATGGACTCATTCTTTCAGTGTTTATTGAGCACCTGTCATGCTCCAGGCTGTCTGAGATTCTGAGACAGAAGTTACTAGAACAGTACTAATTTTCTGCCTTCATAGAGACTACATTCTGGTTTGGGAGTCAGATCATCAACAGGCAAATAAATGAGTATAAAATACAAATACAAAATCATAAATCAACATCAGCTGCCTCCTGATATACTTAGAAGGTCACAGCATCACTTTTGTAGTAGTTCTTTCAAAAATGTGTAATCCGTGTCCAATTGGGAAGAAGTTCCAGGCAAGCCCAGACTGAAGACTATTCCATGAGACAACTGTTCTGTATTCTGTAAAATAAAGATGTCACAAAAGACAAAAGCTGAGACACTATTCCAAATAAAATGAGACTTAACAAAATACATGAAAACTAAAAGCAATGCCTAATCCTAAATTAAATCCCAAAGCAGATTTTTTAAATGCTATGAAATCTATTATTAGTATGATTTTCAAAATTTAAATATGAGTTGCATATCACATAATAGTACTGCATCAGTATAAGTTTATTACATTGTATTTATGTGACAAAATAATCTTTGGTGTCCAAAACCCAGCGCACTGAACTATTTTGACAGTACATGGGTTGGAGCAGGAAAGCAGGGAGGAGGGGCAGGGGACAGAACCTCTTTCTGCAGCCTGGCTTGGCAGCGGGTGGAGTGGGAGGCTCACACAGGGCCCGTGGGAGCCTCCTCGGGGGCTGAGGGTGTCGGGAACAGAGCAGAGCATGGAGCGGGCCTCACCCGCACAGCGGGAGTCTGCGCCATTGATCGTGATTGACTGATCATAAGAGAGTCTGTTCTGTCTTTGCTTTGCAGCTCCAGAAACTAAAACGATCGCTCTCCTTCAAGACCAAGAGTTTACGGAGCAAAAGTGCTGACAACTTCTTCCAGGGAACCAACAGTGACGGGAAGCTGCAGGCAGACCCGCTGGCTGAGGTCAGCCCCGGCTCCAGCCCTCTCCCGGTCCCCGGAAGCCTCACGTCCACACCCACCAGGGCTAGCCTCTACCCAGGCGGCGGCGGCAAGGCCCACGCCTTCCAGGAACACATCTTCAAGAAGCCCACTTTCTGTGACGTCTGCAACCACATGATCGTAGGTAAGCCTCCCCCCAACCCCCTTCCAGGTCCCCACATCCATGGAAAGCCAGGTAAGAGGGGTGTACCGGGGTCCAGGTCCCGGTGGACTGAGCTGAGCCTCAGAGACCGACAGGCAGGAGGATTGTTTGGGAGCGTTTAGGGGAACAGTATTTGTCAGAGGAAAGGGAAGCAGGGCTGGGCAGCGGGAGTTGGGTTGTGGTGTATGTGGTTGTAACGAAGCCTTCAGCTGATCCCCGGAGAGCTCTAAAGCCATGTACAGTCATCTTGCATTGAGGTCAGACGTCTGGAGCTTTGTACCGCAGCATTACCTCTCACCAGATATGGGCAGCCCCTAGGGTGGGGGCAAAATCTTGAACAAAGCAGCTCTTTTTAGCCAAGGGCAGTTAGCAGAGAGAGAATCCGTGGGATGCTGGGCAGTTGGGGACTATCATAGCATCAACTCCACGGTGCGTGGGAATGCCTGCCTGGGGTCACCTGGAGGGGGAGGTCTGTGGCTTGATGAGTTACAGGTGCAGGACCCAGATAAGCAGGCGCGGAAGGTAGGGGACCTCAGGGAGGCACTAAAGAAGGCAGGACAGTTGTGATGGGGATTATAACTCTGATCCTGGGAAGGATCACTGATGGTACCTCAGAGAAATGGTGGGAGCCAGAGCATCTTAGAGGCTGTACCCAGATGGAGAGAATGGCCTCCGTAATGTTCCAGCTAGAAGGACACCATGAGCTGCTGGGATTAACACCCACAGAGATGCCATCCACAGTTCACACCCGCCTGCTTGTCCCGTGTCGCAAACCCAAGGACCAAACAGATGGAGGAAACCATAAAGGGAATTTGGGTGGAACCCAGAATGAATTTAAACCAGTTGTTTCAAGAGTAGCAGCAGCGGTTTCCAGTGCAGCCAGGAAGGCGGGTTCTGTGGTTCCCTTCACCCTTGGCCAAGACCATTTGAGGGCGGGGTGTTGAAAACGGGGAGCAACGTCAGCCCTTCTTGTAGCGTTACCCACAAGGCCTGTCTGCATCTTCAGAAAACCATTATCTGTCCACACTCGCATTTTCTAGTCACTCTCATTCATGTTCTTCCTTCCAACAAGCCACATTCAGGATCAGTGCTTTGGGTCGGTCAAGGATTTCTGGAAAATAATGCTGTAATATCTCATATCTACTCTGAAACTCCAGCTCTTAAAGCTGCTTTCTTTCACTCTGTCCAAGCATCTTCAGAGCAGCTGGGGTTTGGCTGATCCACACCGAGCTCAGTTACTGTGTCTTCTCTCTATTCTATACCTCTCATGCTTTTCCTGGACCGGTGGGCTAGCGGGGGCGTGCTCTTCCCATGACAAGTGGAAGCACACAAGCTTCCTGGGGCTCGGGCTGGAGGTGGGACTCTGCTGGCATTCCACCACATCCAGGGATGGAGAAGGAGCAGGGACTGCAAAGCCACCTGGCAAAGGGCAGGGGAAGGACGTCAGTAATCCAGGCTGCCACGGGGCTTGGGACGGCCTCTGCACGACTGAGCCTCTGTGGTCTGTTAGATGCTCCTCAGTCTTGGAGCGCGACCACCTTCCCTGTGGCTTCTCCACCCGGAAGTGATACCCAGCATCTGACCATTAGCGTGGCGGGGACAGGGGCTCGTCACGTCTCCCACTCGGAGCGCTTAGGCATTTTGGCCTCCAGCTTGGTTTCTCCATCTGCCTGAGCAGCTTCTGACTCTGATGCGTCACTTTCAACTTCCCCGCGAGTTCCCACCAGGCCTTTTCAAGGCCGTGCTGTTCATAACCCTTAAATGGGTGATGATGAGTCTCTCTGAAATCTCATTGTGACGACTGTGAAAAGGCAAACAGCCCGTGTCGTTTTAAAAAGTAACGGAAATGAGTTCACATCCAAGGAGTGTCACAGGCATGATCCGAGAGAGGACTCCAGGTGCACCCCAAGTACATACAGCAATGAGGCTGAAAGCCTCTGTTTTGAAAATCACCCCAAAAACCATGCTTTGTGTTAAAGAGAGTTTCACTCTACTTTCCTCTTCTCAGAATTAAATGTATATGGTAGCTGCTTTTTTCTCTTAAGAAAGAGAGAGAGAAAAATAGTCAACAAGATAAGCATCTTTTCAAAGATGAAAACCAAGGAAACCAAATGGTAGACTCAGGGGAACGGGGAGAGAGAAAAGGCAGAGGGAGGCGGTGAGGGGAGGAAGAGGAGTGAGGTGGAGAGGAGACGGATGCACATTACCCTTCCTGAAACTCTGTGCAGGCCCTTCCGTCTGACAGCAGAGAGCAGCTGATCTGCCCTTTCTTTACTCCTCAGGCAACCTCCTGTCTCTACATAACCACCTGGAGATTTGCTTCCTTCAAGCCACAGGCCATCTTCACACTCTAGATTCTAGGGAAAGACCCCCCTGCTGTTATCCCCTTAGAATGACATTCCCGAGAATATATTAAAGCAGAGCTTTTTTTTCCTTTCCACAGAGAACCAAAGGTTAGATAATGATGGCTCAGAAAAATCAAATCTCGCTTGTGCAGTTTCTAGCTGATGGATCTTTGTTTAAAAGTAAACGGAGTCTGGCATCCTCACTATCTGGGATTTGGACGTGGGAATGGACACTCGGAGCTGGGTTTACCAGCTCTCGCCATTTGTGCCTCACCTGGCTGCCTGGGCCTCAGAGGTGGAGAGGCTGAATGCTGGCTGCAAGAAAGTGGCAGTAAAAGTAGACCAGCACCCCAGCCTCATTCTGCGCCCGTATCTTTCTTTTTTGTTTGTTTTCATATTTCTTTTTCATTAAAGGTTATTACATGATATTGAATACAGTTCCCTGTGCTCTACAGAAGAAACTTGTTTTTTAATCTATTTTTATATATAGTGGCTAACATTTGTAAATCTCAAACTCCCAAATTTATCCCTCCCCCCATTTCCCGGGTAACCATAAGACTGTTTACTACGTCTCTGAGTCTGCTTCTGTTTTATAGATGAGTTCATAGTGTCC